AAACACCTTTTCAGCCACGAGAAATTACCAGGGTTTTTGATCCACACCCACACACACACACACACACAGGTACTGGGGGTTTGTTGGCAAAGAAGGTTTCTTTCAATAGGGGGGAAAGGGGGGGGGGGGGGGCGGGCCCAGGTTATTAAAGACCCACCGGGTAAAATTCCCCGGGGGGGGGGGTTTTGTCGAGGTTCGAGGATTAGTACAATGTCTTAGTACCTAGATACCGTCGGTAAGTACCTCCCGTACATACAATACATGCAATCCCTTGGGGGGGAAAGGATGAGGTTTGGGGGGGGGGGGCCGAGACACAAGCACACACGATAGACCCATTTGCCGCAGGCCGACGCAACACTGCTTGTACTGTAGGCACGGTAAATGGGTCCGAGGCAGGCTGAGTGGCACAGCAGCAGCCACAGTCGTCTAGAAAGTTCGTGGGAGCGCTTTGAAGCAGCAAAGGAGGAAGCGTACCGAACCGGTACACGGCTAGTCTGTTAGGCACGAGTAGTGGAGGAAGAGAGAGAGAGAGAGAGAGAGAGAGAATGTGTGTGTGTGTGTGTGTCATGGATGGGCCCAAGAGCCTGCTCGCTCGTCCTGTGCCGTGCCGACGCCCTGTTTTCCGCTGCCAGGGCTGCCACGAGGTGCCGTATCCACAGCCAATCATGACCCCGGTCTTGCCCTCAACGTTCGCTTCCCACCTGCCTTCGTTCCTGCAGGCGCCTTCCTCCACTCTGCCCGTCGCTCTCAGTCGCTCTTGCTGTCTGTCCTGTATTGTACTCATACCCAAAGAGAAAGAGTGGCCCTCTACTCCTTCTCCTTGTAATCCTTTCCCCGTCGCCCCTTCCCCTTCCCCACCCCACAATGGGACTGCTCCTGCGAACGGTGCGCATAGCAGCGTCATCCCCCCAATTCTTCGCATGAACAATTAACAACACGAGTGATTCTAGCTCAAGGGCGACGGGAAATGATCTGCCTCTGGTTTTCTTTCCCGTTCCCACGGTTAAACAGACAGTCCCTCTCTTGTGCGGTCTCCGTGCAGTCTGTCTGCTTCCGTTTGCATTCAACAGATTACAGAGAGGAGAGGGCCGGCGATATTGCCCATTCGGCGCAGGGGCCTGGAAACTACGGTGTAGGAAACTAATAGTAGAAACTAGGAAACTATTGTAGAAACTATTCGCCACCACACACACACACACCAAGACGTCCGTCGTGTGTAGGTACGGTATCAGCCGTCAACGACATGTGCGGCCTCAGTTGCTTCCTGTGGTGCTCGCCCTGCTACACTGCACAGAAGATCTAGTAGGTTACCCTAATGCAGCGGAGCTTCCAAGTTGCACTCCCCTTCCCCCCCCTCCAGAGGCTTCCCATTCAAGGGAACCATGTGCAGACGCGGTTGTCATCATGGGCGGTGCCGTGATGGACGATGTGCAGATCAACCCAGCTATTAATTGCGTGATGCTATAGCCTTTCCCCACGAATCGCCGGACATGGAAGGTTAGGCCCGCGTTTCACCCCAATACCCGCCCAGTCCTGCTTGGGAACTGCCTCCGATAGCCTAGACGCATCTCTGGGATGGCTACCTGCTCCTCCTGCCAGGGGTGAGCCCTCCTCGCTGCCGCCGGTATCAATAGCAAGTCTGTGGCCAGCCACACGCAAACCGGCCCAGGCTCTCCCACATTCCACATAGATACATGCAGGGAACGCCCTCATGTTTGATATGCTCGCCTCCCGAGTCTCACCAACCTTGCACTCCAGACAGTGGCCCACGGCCACCTCAAACATTGGCCATGACACACATTGCAAGTTGCCTACGGCCCGACGTCGACCACGCCTCCGTTTATATAACCCAGGAAACAGGCTCGACATCAACCGTAAGTCGATTCGCCTGGTCACCCCAATGAACCACCACACGCCCCGCCTCGCATGCTCACTGCAAGACCTACAGACTGCCAGAGACCAGAACCTATCCGCAGCACCCCTCGCAAAGAGTCCGTCCCTGGCCAGCCTCACCCAAACCACCGCTTCCCGTTATCAACTCTGGCCGCCATCCAAAAGTCCAGTGGGGCCTACCAAGCCGGGTAACGCTGCCGACAAGCTGGCTGCCTTGTCTGTTGCACGCTCTACTACTTCCCTGAGCGATACCGCTGCGTTGCCCGAAAGTGTGCCCTTTTGGCAACGCGCCGGATCCTTATCACGGAGAAGAAAGGTCAGCGTTCCCGAACTCGGTAGCACCATGACTACCGTTCAAGAGATGCCCATCGATTCTCGTAAGTTTCTTGGTCATGCACAACCCATCGAATCCTCTGCTCACCCTCGTAGCCACGATACCTGGCAGGCCTCCACTTCGCCACATCTCTTACGAGACCCTGGGCCACGAAAGATCGTGCAGTGCTCCAGGAACAAACTGGAGGGCTGGTCCTTTTGGTGATGCCCTGATTTCTTGTGTTACAGGACCGTCGCCTATCGAAGCTCAAGAGCACAACGTCTTTCTGACCTCAGATGTGTACACTGCTCCTGGAAGACCACTATCCCCGATCCTTAGTCCAGGGGCCACTCCAAGGCCTGTCCTCAAACTCGAAACCAACACAACAGCAAGCTCCGAGAAGCCACCAGCGGTTCCTCCAAAGTCTCCTGTTGTCGATCGCAAACCCTCACCGACACCTCTTGTCCTCGCAACCAAGCCAAGCAGACCCCAACTCACGACATCAACGTCCATCACATCGATGTCGGGAAGGATCACGCCTTCAAGTTCTGTAGATCTCAAACGATCTCCTAATAGCATCATCCCTCTACCTACCCCTCCATCCGCCTTCTCGAATCCCTTTTCCGCTTCTTCGCCGGCATCAAATCGTGGTTCTCCACGAGTTGAGCGCCGTGATCCACTTGCCGCGCAATCATCAACCCACAATCGCAACATGTCTGAGCCATCTATCATGGAGCGCGGCCGGCCAAAGAGAAGGACCAGTAAAAGAGAGCGAAGTCGAACGCTGTCAGAGGCGAACAACGCAGAGACTACTGTAGCAGATCCGTGGAAGCTACCAAATGGCATGCGCGTGCCCGAGGCATCGAGACGCATGAGTGATGCTGACCAAAAGCTTCTCCACAAACAAGCATACGACCAGGCTGGCAACTTTGAGGTGCTCAACAAGCGCGATGTCGCCTCATTGTCAAGGGTAAGTCCTTCACTCGCACAATCATCTCTCCGTCACTAAGCCAAACTCAGGAACTCCGTGCTCTCGATGAGCGATGCGACTACCTTCGTAAGACATATAAATCTCTGCGTTCGGGCCGACAAAAGCTGCATGGACGTATGATTTCCTATCTCAGACGCGGAGAGACAGTCATCTTCTCCCGCGAGTCTCTATTGAAACAAGAGGAGGCTCTTGCCGAGCTGGACATCTCCATTGATGAGTTCATCCTGAAATTAGAGCAGGCTGAGAATCGCCGCTTGCGCCTCCGACAAAAATTACTCGAGCACGTTGCCGCCGCCATCGTGCTCAATCCTAGCGCACGCAGTGACTTGGCAGAGGCTACACCTCCACGTAGCCCCGTCAAGATCGACAGCCCAGCTCGTGCTGAACGCAAGGAGACCGAATCCATCAAGATCTACGCCGACGGCCACGTTCTGAACCTATTTTCTGACATTGAAAAGGCCATTGGCAAAATGTGCGAGCAAACTTGTTAGATTCCGCACCCGAAACGGCCTCGTTCTCCTCTTACGATAACGCCCCTTGCTCTTATTCGGCGCCCAATAATCACACATACTTACTTATACTTCTTCGACGACTTCCCTTCTTGTATTAACCCCTAACGGCCGGTGTATTTATCGCTCTTATCCTACCCTTCCTTACGCTTGGTGCGGAACGAGTCGTTGCTCACACGTACAAAACAAAAGATTCACGCATCAGCTTTCTTTCTATTTCTGTTTCGTTCTGATACCCAGACACTTGCATGTCGCTTCAGCACTTTGCTTTGTCCAGCACACCGCATCCTTTTCTGTTCTTACACGTTCCATGACCGTGAGCTTTACTATGTTTCGTTTTATGCTTGTACTTTTCAGCGGCTGGCCGGACGCATTCTTGTGGCAGATTATGTATATACGGAAAGACAACCTGCAGGGGTTGACAAATCGAGGAATGACATTCAAAGCCAAGTGTTCCAGAAATGCAATTGTGGCGTTTCGTGGTCCTCGAGCCAGGTTCCAAACAAACATTACGTTATTGTGGCTTGCCGTTTGACCGAATTTAGCCATGCGGTTATACCGGTATCACCCATCCTTGGCAGGGCTTCTTCCACTGCTTTTCCGGCCTGCCAATCCATACAGTGACAAAAACTCTCCACTCCTTTGAGTCAAATACAGTATATCTAATTACAGGAAATATCTGATGGCACACTTCATGAGAAGGGCACACATCCCACGGCATCTCGAAGAGGCCATTGCATGCTTTGGATGCGAGGAATTTAGTACTCGGTGTACCATGCTATAACGAAGCGGTTATAGTATGTTTCAACAGCAGTGTGATATTCTCACAAGTACTCAAACCCAGAGTGGGGCGATGCATTTAATGTACATTCGACTTTGCCATCACGTTGGGCGTGAGCTTGGAGCGCGTGCATCCATGCGAGCGAAAGCGCCCTCTGAAATCTCCCTTTGTCTTTTTATCCGCTCAGGAGAAGTCCAATCGATAGAGCATGCCCAGAAAATTCATCGGGTGCTCAGACTCCTCAGGAGCATGTTCCAAGGACAATGGTTGATTTCGTGAGGCTCCCCACCAGTCCTAGAGGTACGGTTGGAGTTCCAGGCCGTGGCCGAGTTTCAGACATGGAGAGTTGGCTGCCTGAATGCCTTGGGACCCAGGCACCACCGCGTGGGTGGCAGCTGTATCATGATATCATATCCAGATCAATGCAAGTCTAGATTCCATGGACAACGCACAACGAATGGACGGCCACGATGCTTGGGCTGCTTGAGTTGTCACAAGCAATTGATGCTTCAGAATGAATGTAGGTAGTGGGGCAGCGGGGTTTTCACGTTTGTTTGTCGGCGCCAACTTTCTCCGCATGGCCCGTGCCCTGACGCCTGCAAAAAAGTTGAGACCCTCAGCAACGTTGAGTGGCTCCCCAGTCTCTCTCTCATTACCTCCGTTATGGCGACCAACAGCATCAAATTGTTGACTGGCAACAGTTACCCTGAGCTCGCACGTCTGGTGGCCGACAGGTATGTTGAGGTCTTTCAAGCAATCCGTCGAGGCTCTCTGTCGGGCACCTGCATCGCGCAACAGACCCTTGATCTCCAACTACCGTCGTATTTTGTCAGCAGACGATGCTTTTCATTTCGCTTCGACTCCACAGGACTTCTGACATGCAGTACTTTTACGAACAGCAACCGCAGCGGTGAAATTGATGAGACATAATTCAAGTCATTTTAAATCCCGTGGTCACTAACGTTGTTTCTAGGCTTGGCATAGAACTGACCAAAATCCTGGTCCTCCAATACTCGAACCAAGAGACTTCAGTGACTATTGGCGAGTCTGTCCGAGACGAGGATGGTACGCGGCATGAATCCCGCAGAGTTTCTACGGACACCCCGTGACACTCAGCTTACTGCTGTCTAGTCTTCATTCTGCAGTCCACGCCCCCCGGCGATATCAATGATGCACTCATGGAGCTGCTGATCATGATCAATGCATGCAAGACGGCGTCTGCACGGCGCATCACGGCTGTGATTCCGAACTTCCCATACGCGCGTCAAGACAAGAAAGACAAATCACGAGCGCCAATCACCGCCAAACTCATGGCCAACATGCTGCAGACGGCGGGATGCAACCATGTCATTACCATGGATCTCCATGCCAGTCAAATCCAAGGTTTCTTCAATGTTCCCGTCGACAATCTCTACGCCGAACCAAGTACTCTACGATGGATTCGTGAAAACTTGAATGTCAAGGACTGCGTTATCGTCAGTCCTGACGCCGGTGGTGCCAAAAGGTAAGCCATTCATGATACTTCGGAAGTTCCGGAATTGATCTTTCCGTCAACCTTGGAAGTGCGACTCTGATAGTGTCTCGCCGTGAGCGGGGTAATCTGCCTCACGGCTCTCAAATGGTGTTTTTCATTATCACATCCCGCAACCGCATTACCCTTGCCCTCGCGATCCCGGGCTGACACTGCTGTAGGGCAACTTCTATAGCTGACGGACTGAATCTGGGTTTTGCTTTGATCCACAAAGAACGAACCCGACCCAATGAAGTATCTCGTATGGTGTTGGTCGGAGATGTCAAAGGCAAGACGGCCATTCTGGTCGACGACATGGCTGATACCTGCGGTACCCTTGTAAAAGCGGCAGATGTTTTGATTGCAGAGGGTGCAAAGGACGCACTTGCGATTGTGACACATGGCATCTTGAGCGGTAACGCGATCGAGGCCCTCAATGGAAGCAAGCTCAAGAAGATCGTCGTTACCAATACTGTACCTCACGAGGACAAGAAGGAACTGTGTGATCGCATCGAAACGATTGACATCAGTCCAACGGTAAGTGACACGCCGACTTCACATGTATCGCATAGACTGACGGTAGCACAGCTAGCTGAGGCGTGTAGGCGAACGCACAATGGCGAGAGCGTGTCTTTCTTGTTCAAGCATGCGCCTGTCGACTAAGTCGTTGAAGAAATCTTCTCGCGACAGTATACTTTGCATCAAAAGGTTTCTATGACCATGGAGTACGGAGTCAAAATCACACCGTGACTACAGTAGTCTTCAGCAGAGTTCTCTGGAGAACTCAAATTGAAGCACCCTTCTGTTTACCCTCATCGGGCCATGGCCTGACAGTGAATCTTCCGCTGTAGGTTTAAGACAGTACTTGCATCAGCAACTTTGCGTCGCTCAGCTCTGCGAGATCGTCAAGACTGTACGACACTGGAGCCGCTGTCAAGTAAGTTTGATCCATTGAGCACAGCCGCCACCGGTTTGCGTACTGTGGTATCACCTGCATGATGCGCCAATCACTAGTCTTCATCGAGCAGGAGCATTCAAAGTCTATGCTGTCTTGAACTAGTTGTCTGAATCAGGCACAATTGTATGACCAAGTACCCACAATCGGATCTTTTTGATCATCTCTCCCCCTAACGAGTCGTTGTGAACTATCGTTAGCGACTCAAGATGACCATTTTCTAGTGTTTACGTTTTTGATGTCAGATGCAAGTCAAACCCATCGTTATCTGACACTCACAATGCGCCGCGAGTACCGTATCTTTGGCTAAAATGTGAGGCAGTCATTCCATAAACACGGTGGCAATCTATTCAGCTACTTCCCAACAACAATGCACTATGCTCTCGTGGACACAGGTACTCAAATGCGAAGTGCTGCCTGAAGACAATGTGGGTCCTCTACGGTTACAGCCTCCCGTTTGCCATCAAATATCTCCGAAACTCCTACAAGACACTTTGCTCTGCCTGCTCCACCCAAAAAGGGTTCGGGCAATATCGGATGATTCACCATGATATGTCCTCCGCCCACTCTCTAGAGCCATGTCGAAATGACCTATAATGTAAAGACCCTGAGGGTTTTTTGTGGGTTTGAAAGGCAGCACACAGGAGTGCATGCAAGCACCATGTTCACGCCGGTACTTTAGTTAGCAGATCTTGGCAGTCGGTACAGATCTGCAAGCCAAGTGCTTTCAAGCAACACGGAGTATTGAAGCTTTCGGAGCAGTTGCCAAGTTTGCCCTAGTACCTTACAATACTGTTTACAGCATATCGCCAGGGATACCGCGTCAAAACAGAAAATTGATCCGCAGTGCCAGGCTACGATTTTCAGAGGTTGGCTCACCAGTGGTGTTTGGCCTTGTGGACTTGAGCTAGCCGTGGTGTTTGACCATTGACTCAGTACCACGCTGGCCATAACTAGGTAGCTTGAACTTCAGCTTGCCACTGTTCTGTTTAGTTTTTCTTTTTTTGCCACGCGGTTGAGCCCGACGAATGGTGCAAGGCGAGTGAGACACGTGAAACTATCTATATCTTGCGAGCTGCAACAGGGTAGAGATCACGTCTGGGTTGCGCAACGATGCATGCTACAAAGAATGTACTTGTACGGTACATATCCGCCCCGGTCCGTACCCTCAATCTTGTAGGTACGTGCTCGTACACGCAATCTCACCACTCTCCTGGTATCGCAGCTACCGGGCTCACAATCTATGTTTGTACTGTACATACATACACACCGTACTTGTAAGCATGTTCCCCCCTGGCCACGGCATCTCCCCCCACAGGTCGGGAGATGTTGCAAGCATGTCCATGTTCAACCAACGGCTGATGCCGCTCCATTACCATCGCTTTCCCAGCTGACTCATCCCGCGTTTCCACCCTCTGCCTCCACGCTCGCACTTCGGCTCTTCTTTGTAAGCGAAGGAGGGGGCTTCGTTCGACTCTCCCGTGTCGCCAATTGTCTCAGGGTCCAGCGCAGGCCGTGCCCTCCCCTCCCCATGGCTTTCTCTTTCGTCTTGGCATCGCTGTTGGACCGGCCCGATTCTGAATGCTAACTTCAATCTCTTGTGTTGTGCATATGTGCCCGATGGGCGGCATGGCTTGTAGCGCAATATTGCCGCAAGAGGGGTCCTTATTTCATGTCTTCTTGGCAAAGGTCCGATAGAAGAGTTGGGGTGAAGTTGGGGTAGTGGTGATGGGATGCTGTGGTAGGAGGGCATGTTATGATAGGGGTGGGTGAGGTGGGAGTGGGGGTTTTACCTACTGAGGCGAGGCGAGGCGGAGGAGTCGGTGCGATTGTTGGTTTGGTTGAGAGGCTTGGGGATGGGGGTGGGGGAGGGGAAGAACACGTACAATGTTGGATCGTTTATCATGCCGTGGTTGCAGTGGGGGTTTTTGGTGAGGGGTGGGTAGGGTTCTCATTTCACGTGGCTGATGGAAGAGTGAGATGTTGGATACTTGTGTTGGGATACCATTTGGGTTGGACGTACATTGGAAATTACGGTACCTACCGGTACATGTTCAGTTCGGTTTGTTGGTGTTGGAGAAAGTCTTGGTGTACTGCTAACCCAGCGGACTAGGCATACGTCTTGAACAAGAATATCCATCAAGATCCAAGCACGGGCATACGGATGCAGTAGACTTCCTCTCCGTCTCATGCGCTTGCAGACTTCCGATGGCTACCCCAACACGAATCGTGCAGTATCATATCCACATCCCACCTACCTGTACCCTACGTCCCGGCGCACATGAAAACGTGCTCGAGTTACACGGTCCTCACGTATTCTAGTTGGGGTACTTACGGTAGGTACTCAAGCTGAGACAATCCCCATTGCCAAGCTTTCTCCGTCTCCCTCAACATGATGCAAAATGTCCTGGGCAAGAATTGGAATGGGACTTTTGAGTTATGAGGATCAGTTAACACAGATGGTAACAGTGACTACAATGATGGTCGTGCGAGCGCTGGCTCGGCACGGTCCTTGCGCCAACGGTTACCAGTAGGTACGGTACCGGTACCGTCCTTTTTGCCTCTGAGACTGGGAGAGTGGATCTCAGTACCCACTGATACCATAATGGTCAGCAATATCAGCGCAGGCAAAATATCCTAATAGTTCAGGTCCAGTTGCTTCAGGCGCAACGGCAATAGAAATACTAGAAGTAGGAAAATCAATGTCTTGGGAATATGAGATGGATCATATTTGTTATTGTAGATATATTGCTATGCTGTTTGCACGCCAGCGTGACGCAACTCGCACGAATTAGAGATGTTGTCCCCGTTTCGTCGCATACTCAGCATTCATATCCCTTTGAGCTACTCGATAAGGAGAAACGGTAATCCAGCCGTGACTCGATTTCGTCAGACGTGTGTCTACTCCCACTGCACCAAAGCAACCAAAAGGTAAGCATGTATATATCGTCGGTGGATCGTTCATAGGTAAAATAACCTATATCAAGGAGTATTCTTGCAACACCGTCGCCAGCACTGTATACTGGTTTTTGTTTCAAGCTGAAAATGGGTTAGACTGTAGTTATTCCCAACTTCTAGATAGTTCACTTACACAATTGCCACCTTTGCAGATTTCACCATTTTCGCAGGTTGCAATGTCTGGATATCCCACCAAATTCTGATAGATGGTTTTGTCACGGCACATCTACTTGCTTATTAGTCTTACTAGTAGAGAGTACATGTCTGCGACAGCACTAATCTTGGCTTAGACGTCTCTTTTTTTCATCCTCAGTGGGATTTTGTTTATCGCAAACAATGATATGCCTGCATACTTCATTTGCTACAATAGGTACCGGTAGAAGAAGTATTACGGCGAAATACTTCATGCTTGCTTGAGCTACAGTAGCTTTAGCAATAACATTTAAATTTATTGAAGAATCGGGGGAGCAATTTGCCAAGGTGGAGTGCTGTCACTGTCTGAGGAGTATCTCTTTATGCACTCTAGGCTTACAGCAGATACTTATACAGAGTCTTAAGAGCTTTGTTTCACGCTAATTGCTGCTTGTATTCCCCGGCTTACCCAGTGCATTCGGCGAATAAGCTCGGCCTCATAGCGACGCATGTCGGCTACATTATCGTACCACATACAAATTGCACTATAGCGACGTTACTAGTACAGTCAGAACTGAACTGATATGATGGCGTACATGACTACATTAGGTGGCCGGAGTCCATGGTACATACAAGTACACTTCGGCCTGAGTATGAGCGGCACTTTTTTTTTGTTTGATGCTTTGCCTTGGATCAATAGCGTACTATTTTGTGTTTACATATACTAGTTCTGTGTGAACTATTCTAGGTAGCACAGAGGGTAGGCATGTTGTTTTACATTCATAACTTTTTCACCTATTAGCACCGACTTTGATCAGGCCGATGCTGCAGTCAGTATATGATAGCCATCCCTATGATTATGGAGACACCAGTTGGTCGATCGTGATGCTAAAATTGAATTTCGCGGTCGATCTCCGTTATCATTGACAGGTACCATGTATATGATAGACACAGAGAGTTCTATTCTTGTTTAACTTCTGCGCGATTCTTTGGTCTCGGCATTGTTGTGGATAACGGGGAATTGAAAATGTTGTGTTGACATGGATGGAGGACTGTAAGCCGGATGAGTCGGCTTAAGATTACATGCAACACCTTCTGTTTAACTACCTAACGTGAAAAGTTTTGGTGGGAGAAAGCAGAGTGATCTTCGAGATAGTACTGAACAGGGCCTCGTTCACTGGAAAAGCAATTTTATGGGCTGGGGGCAGCAATCGAGCCACTTAGCTGCAAGAGATACTGTATAAACTCGCGAGCAACAGTTGTACCAAAGATTGGTACTCCAGGAACTAGGATAGCATAGGTATACTAATCGTGATGCTCTGAATGCTAAGCTTGAGCTCTATATATTTGAGTTATATCTCAACAGTCATAATGCAATAACTTATCCCCCAAATCATTCCAGAGCTTGGTGATCATACATTATAAATACTTGCTTAAAAGTTTACTTTTCCTTCATTTTCTGCGTGCGACCTAAAGTCATATCATCCTTGCTATTGTTGCAGGGTTGGCCGTTCTCGTAAAGTAATAATATCGTAATGTAGCCAAAAGGTGTAAGGCCGAGCTTACCAGTATTTTTCTAAATGCACTAGGTAAGTCCTCATATTCAGTTAGGCAGCTATTTGTCGCATGCAGGAAATGGGACAAACTTGAATATTCTTACTCCACCTCCATTTTAGGATATATATGGTGAGACATAGGATGAGATATTGATGCGATATATATCGTGGGAAATGAATAGAATAATAATATTGCGATACTATTGACACAAAATAACCCCTATAAGATAGTGTACAAATACTCTATGTGCACATATGGTGGCTGAAAATACACCTCCTACAACTGTCACTGTCCTACTACTCGACATGTTATCTAGTAATTGGATAGACTGGGCCCGGAACCCATTTGCCAGCTTAGGTGTGCTCTCTACTTATAGGTTACCCCTTGGTCCTACAGATGTACATTAATAATGCATTAACAAGTCTATATGTAGGCTATCTAAGATACGAGTCCTGCCTTTAAAGTTTCTTTAAATAACAATAATATCTCACTGTTTCGTGGTGAAGTTGAAACTTGGAGGTGGCTAATGTAAATACTTACCTATGCGTGAACTTTTGTCTTTTCTCTAAAAGTTTCAGGCGAACATTGTAGCCGAGATATTCTTGCCGTACTGAATATATCTTGTGAATTGAACAGAATTCGCCATATGATATTTACCTGTTGTTGGGCTGCATATGCTACCGATAAATTCCTGCCAAGGTAAAATCGCCCCTAGCGGCTTGGAAAGTCCCCCGTATGGTACCGGTACATGGCACTTCAAGCTGACCACAGAGCCTCTTACATCACCATCTATTCTCTCACAAAACCCAATATCAATCCATTTAAACGACAATGGCCGAACATCCCTGCTTCACACTCGCCGGTCTCTGTACGCAATTCACAACCGTTGTGTGAATAGCCCATCACTAATAAAACTGCGCTGTGCACAGTAAGCGTAGGCGGAACAGCGGGGTTTCTCCGTACACGCTCCACACCCAGTCTCGTTGCTGGTCTGGGTCTGGGCCTGAGTTATGGAGTCGCTGGCAAGTGATTATCCTTCTTCGATCTTATAGACATCCGATGTTGTGTGCGGATGCAGGCGATGTTCAGCGCCGCGAACTTTTGTTGTGGATGTCCCCACGTCTGAACATCAGCTGATCAATCTTACGTACCCTCAGGCTACCTCATCAAGGAAAATCGCGACTATGGTACCGAGCTTGCGTTAGGAAACAGTGTTCTTCTGCTTGGTTCTGCAGTTCCGCGGATTATCAAGACCGGGGGAAAGGCGCCGGTGCCCATTGCGTTGGGGGTGACTGGGGCATTGGCGACGTGGTATTATCAGAAGAAGGTGCGGGAGTTTAGGTACGGGGTGTAGGTCGCGAAATAGTAAAAAAAGAAGAAAAATAAGGCAGTGCCAGAGTGGAACGAGGAATGGGAGTAGTGGCATGTATGTATTATTGTAGAACCAACCCCTCTCATGACTGAACGCTGTGTATTTATAATTAATCTTGCTGGTGCAGAAGCCATGGTAGCAAAGTTCATAACATGTTTTGAAGAATTACGCATAACAGCAACGAAAGGAAGAAACGATACGTTCAGAATGACAATAACACCGCTGGTAGACCCAGGTGCTAGCAACATCTAAAGTCCAACTCCCAGAAGGAAAGGCTGAGCACCTTGAGCGTTCGTGACCTGTGGCAACTCAGTGATGAATCAGCAAGCTGGATATGATCTTTTTTTTTTCGAAAACGAAAGGATGAGGAAGAAGGAACTGCGGTATCGAAATGGAGATTTTTATCCGCATCCTTTATAAATAGAAAAGTATCATCTGGTTTCGGCAGCTTTACGGAAATGGGTCCAAATCATTTACAGCCTCTTGTGTAGATATTTATACATACTACATACTAAGAGAGGTGTACCATAATGGGAAAATCTCACCATGATCCACTGCGATTGTGATGTTTGTTATGAACATGTGCCACTGCAACTGAGACAGTGGGCACTAATGCTTCTATATGCGGTAATTAAGGATACGATGCGATGAGATGACTTGCTCTCAGATGTGTTAGGTGCCTATTACCTATGGCTGAATTTCGGACACTACAGAAGCTGCGTGAAAATTATACGCACCATCTCAGGCTTCTGGATTGTGGCACATGATTTCGTAGATAACCTCAGAGAATTCTAGAACCATCATCTAAGCCTGGAATTCACATATCTCAACAACCCAGATGTTTAAACACTCTCCATCCCCATCTCCGCGCTAATCATCTACCATCCCATAATCCTCCTGATAGCCTCTTCCAATATCGCCCCGTCCCTCCTATGCGTCTCAGCATTCGGATGATAATCACAGCCCACCACACTTCCCTGATCCGGCATATCCACAACCTCCACCTTCGTCCCGCCCAACGCATCTCTCGCCCTCTCCAACGCCAATCTCTGCGTCGTCTTCTGCGCATCTGCCGCACTTGGCCACCCATCATTTAGCATCGGGCTCGTGAGGAGGAAAAATGCCGCCTTGGGATACCGCGTCTGGATAGTCTTTACAAACGACACAGTGGCATTTCCGTAGACGCCTGGATCCAGCGGATCCCGGATACCAGCCTCATAACCAAAGTCATTCGTGCCCAGGCTAATCACGACAACATCTGGGACCCGGTCGGGGGGAAACGTATAACTATTCTTTGCATCCTGCGCGCCGTAACGCGTCCAGCGATCCGGCATAATTGGACTTGGATCCGGAGTCGCAGACGCATAATTGCGTGTCAGGCCGATGCCGCTCCAGGCCACGATACTGTAGTCTGCACCCAGGGCGTCAGCGGCAAGTGCAGCGTACGTCTTTGGGTTGTTTTCTACGGCTGCGGAATTGCCGCAGGGGTAGGTGCCGTCGAGGCCGTAGCCTACGCTTATGGAGTCGCCGATGACTTCGATTTTGCGCGTGGGGATACTGTCGGCCGTGAAGGTTCCGGTCGTGGTGATGTTTCCTAGGAAGATACTGCCGTAGAGGGCTTCGGAGCGTTTGCGGAGCGTGACGGTGTGGGTACCAGATGAGAGACCTGCGGGTGTGGAGATGGATGTCCCGTTTACATCGAGGATGACGATGGTTTGGTTATCAGTTTGTAATTGCACGCTGTTTGTCCCAGTGATGGCTTCAAGGCCAATGGATGCGGATGTCCCGGTAAATGTAAACGATACACCTGTTCCTGGCCATGTCAATTCGCGGGTAGAAGGATTGACGCGGCCGAGGAATCGGAGGCTCTGAGCTTCATCGAGAAGAGCAAGGAAGAAGATGAGAGGTAAGGAAGACTTCATGATGGGCAAAACACAGGAAATGGAGTATCGAAAAAGCCCATGAGATGGTGGCCTGTGGCATCGTCTTGACTCTTTATATTCTTCACAGCACCTGCACGCCACTTCTCGATACCTGGACCAAGAATTATAAGACCCGCATACCTAGCGCCGGGTAACTGGAAGAGAACGATAGGGCACTATATACGCATTACTTGGTAGTCTAATCAATTCCACACATACTTCCTGTATGCGAGATTCGACACGGAGACGTGGCTCCGCTTTAGGTGCATCGTTTATACTAGTGCGCTAGACTGGAAGGGGGAACGATTTGGAACAACGGCAAAATTAATACTCCAGGATCTGCAATGTGGTGACGGAATCTGGGGGCAACTGTGAGTGCCTACTCTTGAAGAATTAAGCTGTTGTCCGCTGGAGACTATCGACACGTTATGAGCTATGTTGCCTGAAGTTCAAATATCATTCTTCGACCAGAGCAGTACCAACGGGCCTATAGATGATGCACGGTACAGTTTGAATATTTTATCGTCAAGACTTGCAGAAAGTACACCTAATCTATACTTTTCTCTCTCTTTACTTCCTACGTACAACCCGTCTGCCCTACAAGTCACGTTTGCCTAGAAGAACCCGTTTAACCCCTTTCTTCAACAGCCTCTCCCTACGACCTGCAATCTGTCTAGCCATATAGCTCCATCGATCGTCGCCATCTCCTTTCTTCTTCCCAACCAAATCTATATCTTTGACCATGTCGTCAATTTTGGCATCAGCCCTGCGCACAGTCTTCAGCAGATCTGCAGGAAACTCACGCGTCGCAAGACGACGATCAGACAAGAGCTCCCTGACGCTTTTTCGGAGTTGCTGTAGCGCATTCGTGATAGGTAAGTCGGGAACATCTTTGCGCAGTTTCGACCGGGTGTGTTCAACAATCTTCGTGCTAGCTTTGGTGATGGTCCACAGGAGTTGAGGGGGAAACGAACGGGTTGAAATGGTGCGATCGTACAACAGGGCTTCGATACTATCGTCGAGCTGTTTCAAGGCTGCTGTAAGTGATCTTTCTGGATGGGATGGTGATGCTACTTCCTCTTCGGACAGTGTTGCAGAGTTTGACATCGTGTGGGGCTCATCAACGCTTGTCTCTCCTAACGACGTAGGCTGCTGACTCATATCTTTTGGCTTCTCTTTCTCTTGAGCCGTACCAAGATGAGAGGAATCTTGTCCTCGACTCTCCAAAACAAATCGCAGGCCAAGTGAGTGTCCCGCTCCAGTGCCATAGCTGAGACCAGTTTCATCCGACGTTCCTTGGTCTGTCCAAAATGTTTTACCCTCGAACAGCCTCCTCGCAGTTCTGTAGACTGTGGCAGTGACAGGCATGATCCTGTTCTGTTTGTCCATTGTGGCGTTGACCTGTATCCTTCCGCTGGCATGTCCAATTGTGATAGCCTCTTCTGTTACTGGATCCGGCGCCAGCATCTGCTCGACAATAGTACCCGGGATGCGAGCTGCAACAGCCGTGGTCAAAGCAGCCGTCAGCGGAATAGCGCGATGTGGCTGTGTATCCGATATGAAGCGAATAACGATGTCCATTTGTGAAGCTCTGAGGGTCTGACCTGACAAGACCGCATGCGCAGATGACTGTGATACTAAGCCAATCTTGGGTACTGTACGAGGCACAGAGCCTTCATCTGGCGCGATGCCCATTGCCACGGCGGCAGCTTTACGAATAGTTTCGAGAAGTTTAAGCTTCTCTGGAAGCTTGTTGAAGTCGTTTGGGAGAATAGTACCGCTTACACCAATGTCACTGGCGCGGATGAAGCAAGCTGGATTCGCGCCGTCGACACATGAAACCTTGTATCCTGCGATATTGTCCACTTTATGGCCTGTAGGCAGAACCTTTCCCGTCTTGCTACCATATGGATGTCTAAAGTCCAATTTGACCTTTGGACCGGACCCAGTCACGCCGTCGATGGAATAGTTGCCGATAACAGCAGCCTGACCACCAAAAGTCTCAAATATGGCGTCGATCATTTTCCCTGTATTGGTGTTCCGAATCTTCACCTTGACCTCACCATCTGACCGTACATAGAACCTAGCAGGCAGGAGACGTGCATTGTACGCATAGGGGCCAATTGCGCTGCTCATGTTGCCACAATTGCCAGCTACATCGACTTCATCAGTCTCTATCCCGAGTCCAACAAACGTGTAGTCGACGTCGGCCTCTTGCTCCTTGCTGACATGGTGATTTGCTTGCAGCGACAGGCTCTCCGCTTTGCTGGTCGTTGGCGCATCGACGAATGGTTCGACGAGGCAGATCTTGCTGAGGCTCGATATGCCAGCGCCCATACCATCAACTTGGCGTCCGTATGGATCGCCACTGCCCATAATCTGACGGAACACAAAAGGCCATTTGGCACGATTCTTCGGGAGGTCCCGTGGTTGGATGATCACTGCTCTCGACGTTCCTCCACGGTAGTAGGCTGCCCGAATAGATAACTGAGCTGCCGGCGGGAGGTTCTTCTGAAACACCTTTCTGGGTTTGACGACATCATACTGGCTAGGAACGGTGTGTGGGCGTATACGTTCGAGGAAGCAGGGCGAAGGGCGCATTACGCATCATGTCATTCATATCTTTCACCCGTCAACGTCAACCAAAGTCGTAGTGGCGTGGCTGGGCAAAATAAAAGCGGAGTGCATCCCGAGGCTTAACGTGATCCACCACCGAGCGCCCACCCCCACCGAGCGCCCACCAACACCAAAATCCACCACCCACTAAATAAGGATATTGCGCCACCCACAATAGCTATTATCACAAGATTTCTTAGAGTCGCGATTATTAGATCTATTAGAGTAGATTAAATATTTTAGATTATATAAGCAGCTTTTTAGGGGGTCTAATTAGGCGCCTACACTGTAAAGTTGCCTCTACTACTATATCCTCTTCTACTAGCTCCTTATTAACCACCTTAGCTAGTATAATAGTAGGAGGCTTAAGGATTTACCTCTTGCCTATTTAGGATGTTTTAATATTATTTTAGAGTTACTTTTCTAGTTACTTAGTAGTTTTCTACTTATTATGTGTAGTAGCTTTTTAGGTAGCTTTCTCCTCCTACTTCTTCTTAGTAATTACTTAATTTAGGTAACACTCCTTTATAAGTTAAGCTTTAGTAAGCTTCTATTACTTATAAAGCTTAATTATCTTGCTTTTTTAGTATTATAGCTCCTATTCTTTAAGGTTCTTTTACTCCTAGAGCTTAAACACTTGCTCTACCTTTAATAGTAAAATAAATTAGGCACTACTACTATAATTATTATTAGGGGGTAATAATAGAGGTTTACTACACTTCCTACGCTTCTTCTTATTAGCTAGGGTAGCCCTTAGGTGTTTATTTTTATAGTTAAGTAGAGTATTTCTTACTAATATAGTATAGATTATCTAGCTAAGCTTCTTTAACTATTTATTATAGATATTAATTATAGTATTATAGAGTAACTACTCTATCTTTCTCTAATTACTTACACTTAATATTAAGGTTATACTATTACTTAAAAAAGGCTAGTTACTATTATTTATAGGTGCTTTAAACCTTAAAAGGATAATATTAGGGTTAAGTAGTAAGATGCCTATTACTTTAAAAGCTATTAATATTAGCTTTTCCTTAAAGGTATTACTCTATATAGTATTAAATAACTAGTAGAAATCCCTCTTAGTAATACTTATAAGCCCTTAGGAGCTATCTAGAAAACTAGATAGTTAAGCTTTATATAAAGCTATAAAGGGAGCAAATACTATAATATTAAGTAGCTAAAGGGTGTAAGTGCTATATGTAACAATAAGGCAGAATTGCCTGCCTATTATTCTATGCCAAGTTAGGCCTAATAAAGGCCTAACTTACTAATGTATATAGAGAACAGCTCGCCTATAGTTAGGATAGGCATATTCTTCTTGTCCTTTTGTACAAGACCTATAGGTGTAGGAATCTTATCCTTTTCTGTATAGACGCGCACTCCTATATACCTTTAAGTTATATAGGATACCTTTTAGATACCCTACCTACCTAAGTTATTATATTATAAGAAGAATATTATCCTAGCTAGTAATAGTATTTAAGAATATTGTACTTGTTGTTATTTTAAGCTACTAATTTAGTTCTAGTAGCTATCTAACCCTATAACTCTATAGTTAGAATAGCTATTAGAACTTCTAATAACTAAAGCCTATAGGCTTAGACTTCTAGACCTATAGGTAGTGCTAGATTACCTTTAGAAAAATCGCGTTAGATTGCGTTAAGGTAGAGACCTAGAGACTACTAAAAGCCTAGAGGAATTAGAGGCAAAGCTAATATCCTCCTATAACTAAACCCCCTAAAAAGAAAAGATTTATTATTCTTATTAACTATAAAATATTAGATAAAGGTAAAGGAAGGGTATCTAGTTTAGCTGCGTTTAAAAGCCTATTTACTAATAGAAAGAAATTAGATAAGGAAGACTTAATTAATAACGCCCTCCTTAAAGGACCTGCTTCCTATCTGTCTCTTAAGGTACCTTGTGCTCCTAGGAAATCTTAAAGCAACACCTCCCTTAAAGATAAATACATGTTAACCCTATCTAAAAAGGAGAGGTTAGAGGAATAAGTTAAGTAACTTACTAATTAGTTATATAACACCTCCCTCTATAAGGAGATATAGTGTACTACCTAACCTAGCTAGTCTTTAGCTTCTATATTAAACCCTATAGTATATGCTATAAAAGCTAAGAGATAATCTAAAAAGACGCTAAATATCTCTACACTTAGTAATAGTGCTAATCCTACTTTTAGATACACTACGGTACAAAACCAGTTTACAGTAGCTATATTTATCTAAAGTAGACCACAAAGTAGTTTAAGTATAAGAAGTAAACCTAAATAGGGTTTACTATACTATATATTCTATAAAGGTAAACTACTTTTTAGTTTATATATTATTAGTATTATATGTATTAACTTTAGCGTCTATTTAAACATAGTTTATATAATATACCTAATTATAGGTTATATAGTAGTGTTATGGACTAGCCTTAAGGGAGAATGCAATAAGCGTTGATAATAGTATTTAGTATCTTAAAGGAGAGATAAGCCCTCCACGCCTTTTTATAGGTGTCTAGTGTGTTCGCTTAGTAGTGGTGTTAGACTTAGTCTATCTTGTGTTAGACCTAGGCTTAGGCATAAGCCTAAGCCCTTTATATACCCCTAACCTTCCCTATAAACTATCGTAAAATTGTCTTTCTAGGGGTCTAGGGTTATATCTCTATCCTCTATAATCTATATTAGGCTTTATTACTATATTTTTTAGTTTTATTATTATATCTTTATATTCCTTCCTAATTTATAACAGGCCTATATATTAAGTAGTATGCGCGCGTAGCGTCTATGCGCTTGTTTTAGCACCCTACTATAAAAGTTCTAATATAGCTATCCTACCCTACTATAAATTTCCTAAACTTACTTTGTTATATAATAGATTTTCTCTACTAATTAGCCCTCTTTCTACCCTCTCTATGTTAATCCTGCCTATTTAGCCTCTATTATATCCTTATCTACTACTACTAGTACTAGTAGTAGGGATCTACTATAAGGTAGTTAGACCCTACGCTAGGCCTACTAAAATAAGGTGCGTACTTCTACTATTCTCCCTATATTTCCTATACTAACTTTTACTTAGTACGCGTCTCCCTAAATATAGCTACTTAGTAGCTTTATTATTTCTAGTAACTTAGATAATAAGGAGTATAATAGTAGCTTTATAAAGCTACTTCCCTGTAATTAATATATTAACTAGCTTTATCTTTTTAGCAAGTGTAACTATTAGGAGGGTAGTAATAAGTTCCCCTTAATTTTTATTTTCTTTATAGCAAGTTCTAACTATATCTAGGGCGTTTATACAAGTCTTATTATTATAGTTACAAGACCTATACTAGGTTAGAGGCTATACTTACTAATAATCCTAACGTCTGCTAAGCCCTCTATAACTAGCTTTAGTTTTATTATAGTTACTAGGAGGATTACCTCTATATTATAAAGAAAGGGACCCTTAGAACCTTTATAGGAAAACCTACTAAAGGCACTTACTACTAGTTTATACTATAGTTCTACCTACTCTACTATTATTTTAAGGATCTTATATTAAGGGCTTAAACTAATAATACTATTACTCTACTTGCCCCTACTACCTACTTACGCGCCTATAATTAGTATTAGCTTAGTGCTATTATTCTATCTACTACTAGTACTTTAGTATTTCCCCTTTAGTCTACTATTACGCCTTTATATAGTAGTTGTGGCAACAATAATATTATATAGCTTGCTACTACTACTAGTATTACCTTCTAGCGTATTAACTAGCGTATAAATAAGACCTAGGCCTAAACTAACCTTTAAATTAATAAGCTTAAGAGTGCTACTAAGCGCACTACCTATAGTATTAAGACTCTTATTATTAGTATTAATTTTCCTTTGTTCCCTTTATATATATTCTAACGTTAGCTTTCTTTAGGCCTAGGGTGCTATATATTAGCAAACTATTAAAGCACTACCCTCCTCCTGCTACTACTACTACTACTGCTTATACTTATTAACTAAGTTATCCCCTACCTATACTACGCGCAAGCGTTACTACTATTACTAAGAGATGTAGAGGCGTTAGAATAATATAAATAATAGTTTAGGGGGAGCTAGGGGGGGGTTAGTTATAGATAGTAATAGTATAGACACTACTACCTAATTATTAGCTGCCTTATAGAACTTTAATAGTAGGGCACTTACTTAGAGTATTATTAGGATAAATAAAAGATATCTCTAATACCTTTCTACTTCTTAATTGTAACAAAGGTCTAAGTTATTATTCTAGTTTTCTTCTACACTTACTTCCTAGCTTTTATACGTATTAGGCTATTATTATACGTAATATCCCTATACTATTCCTTAAACCTATCTAGAGCCTTAGTATCCTACACTACCTCTAGCGGGTGCTATATTAGATTAATATACCCCTTCTACTTTACTAGGACTTAATACTTCCCTTTTCCTCTTATATTCTTTATATAAAGGATCTCTTCTACTTCCTATTTATCTAGTATTGCGTCTTTATTTTCTAGAGTAACTATAGGGCCTAGTTATAAGTCCTAAAGCTTCTAGCTTAGTAGTAGATTATTAGCAGCTCTCTCTAGCAGATCTACATGTATAGTCTTATATAAGTTCCCTAGTAAGTCTAATACTACTATAAGTAGAGTAGGGACTTCTATTACTTTATACTTTACCTATAGCTAGTTAAACTTTTTACTTAGTTAGTTTATCTTTATATTATATATTATAAACTAAACTATATTACCTTTTAGGAACTTTTTAGCTAGCTATTAGGACTAGTTTATTACTTCCTATTATTATTACTATTAGAATATAATAGTAGCTTGCGCTAGCTCTACACCCCTCTATAGGTGCGATAAGAACGCTATAGCCTCTCTATAAGGATTCTTAGGCTTTACTAGTAGTAATATTTGCTTTTATAGAGTGTCTATAGTATACCTATTTAAAAGAAGATTTAGGCTAACACTAGTTATACTAGAGTCCCTAT